CGCTAGTAGGTTGGAAGCTATCGCTTTTAGGTTGGAGGCCATCGCTCTTAGGTTGGAGGCCATCGCTATTTTGAGTTACGACATCGGCTGCCTTTGAATAAGGCAAGAGCAGCTGCCCTCTCTGTTTCGTTCCTCTCGACGCAGGGGAGGCCGTAGAAATGCATTTTGCACAGCTTGTTTCTAAACTATGTTATCGTATTTTTGTTAAATTTACTTTATTTCTTTATATTTTAGACCTTTAGAGTTTTCCTTCTTTTGCTTTCTTGTCAGGAGAGACAAAGTTCAAGCCAAGCAACCAGTTCATCAGATGGTCTTCAGGCAAACGGGAAGGTGGACAGCATCTTCAGGTCGCAATCTGGAGCAAGGAACCCTCTTGAATGTCAACTATTTTTGGAGTTCACAGGAGAATCGTATTATTGTTTGGTTAGTGCTTGTGGGGCGACCAAGATGGAAACTTGGACATGTGGAAGAACCTACAAGGTATCAGGGTTCATGCAAATGTTTCAGGCAACAACGGTAATCTAATTAGTCACATGGATGCACATGCGGTAAGTTGTCACAAGAAGGATCAGCAAGAAGGGTCGGCAGATTTTGCAACCATCAGATCAAGGTCAAGACGGCTTCTCAAAACTGTTGACCTTGTGACACTAGGAAAGCATTCTGACTACTATTCATGTTTGCTATTGGGTTGGAGGCCATCGCGGTTCGGTTGGAGGCCATCGCTAGTAGTATTCATTGTTCTCCCGTGTTCTTCCTCTTCGATCTCACAGGTTTGCTTCCTTTGAACCGCTACGCGGCCTGAATGGCTTGGTATCCTTCATTTGCAGAGGTGGGTTCTACTCTTGGCGGGGTCTCTAGAAAAGGATATATTTGGTGAAAGAGGCCACAGCAGCTTTATGTGACGTGATGCGGCTATTTGTACAATCAATTCTATAGCACAAGCTCTTCCATTGCATAGATTCACAGCACCTCTTAAGGATAAACCCCCGATGCCTCCTCGTATCTCTATCTCCTCATTAACCCTTGCGCTAGGTCACGGCAAGCTGTGAGCGCAGCAAAGCAACATCTGAACGTGAAGCGGGAACAGAGCTGGAACAGACGTCAAGAGACGAAAGAGTTTGGTTGTGACGAAAGAGTTTGCGTGTTCCGTCTTGTTTGCCAAAAGCATTTTCAGAATCGATGTTAGCTGCGTCTTTGTGACACTCGTCTCCAGATGTCGTAGGAACAAGTGCCACGCTACTAGGAACAAGTGCCACGCTATTAGTAACAGGTGCCTTACTAGTAGTAACAGGTGCCACGCTATTAGAAACAAGTGCCTTACTACTAGTAACAGGTGCCTTACTATTAGAAACATTCCCGTGGAGGCAAAGCAGTTGCGATCTTCAATACGCATGACATCGCAGGACATTGAGCTTTGCGTGAGGCTGTGACCCGTCCTGAAGGAACAAGCGCCGAAAAGAGACCGCGGTTTGGCTTCGGGTCGGGTAGGACGAACATCGCAGCTGGCTTTGAGTCGTACGGGACTCTACAAGGTTTTGTGCCTAAAGTTTGGTTCTGAGGGATTCAGAAGAGTGTTCCTGCACCAGCTGGCATTACACGGTTTGCAAGCAAACTGTGGTGCGGTGTATATATTTCCGAACTAGGTGGTCGCGGTTTTTTTCATGGACCAAACCCCTGAGCTGTTTGAAGGATATCCAGAAAGTGAACTGGGACTCTAACTTTGCATACTGATTTTCATGTGTGTTAAACTACGTGGCTGGTCTTGCCACTTGAAGGATATCCACCAGTTTCCGCGTTGTGTCAGATGAATAAACCTAGAACATATAGATATACTGTACTCTTAAGATCTCCTTTAGGATGCACCCAGTTTGTAGTTTTTTGTTTGTCAATATTAAACTCACGGTGAAGTCAGCTTAAAATAATTGAATCAACACACTCCAAACACTACCAGTTGACCAAACGCAAGACTGGCGACATCTCGACGTGCAAGAACTCTGCAGCATTCTGCAGCCATTGAGCCTTCGGGCGACGCTGGCCGTGCTGACAGTCCTTGGGGTTTTCACGACATGGCGATGTCTTTGATGTTCCCCTTGCTTGTTTGGAAGAGGTGTTTTGCGATGTTTCTTCTTTTATGTTCCTGCTAAAACTGATTCATAGCTATCTTAGCAACGGCAGACCACTTTTTGCAAGGACGCTTTGTTTGGTGTTCCCATACTTTTTACAATGTTGTCCCAACAGCGAGTGTGCGGATCCGACGTTCGATCCTTGTAACCCTACGATCAATGTCAGGATGCGTCGTGGAGCCAAGGGTGCGACATTCCCAAGGGTTGCCATGGTATTTCGCAGAGGCGCGAGATCCTTGCAGACGGCTGTCACTCATGATGTCAACATGTATTTGAATAGATTTGTCCTGTAGGTTCCCGACGTGATTTGTATGTTTTTGACTTGTGCCGCAAGTGAACACCACCTATCGACAATAGATACCGTAAGACGCATGTTGTATGGCAGGCTATCATGAGGTGGTCCACGATCACTTCAACAATCCTCGGAATGTGGGCAGCCTTGACAAAGAGGATGCTGCTGAAGTATTCGGAAGTTGAGCTACTCTGTGCCAAGTCATTGCACTGCGAACAACAATGTGTGTTTTTTTTTTCTGAGTTATGTGAAGTCATCCTGAACTCTAGCAAGTTTTTTAGTGAAATGATCTGAAGGCTTAGAGACGTCGTTCGTGGCCCCTGGCACAGGACAGCAATGTTGGCTCTGCTTTGGTGGGCAAAGCGTCTTGTGGCGATGTGATCAAGCTCCAGGCCTTCGCAAGACAAAGCCGGAGGAAGGAGAGGTGTGATGAATTTGTTTGTGCAAGTTTGAAAAAACAACTCGCTGCAGGTGAAGGTGAGCAAAGATGGAGTGATCGAGGTGCATTCTTCTTCTAGCATGCTTAAACACATACATTTTGACCTCCGGCCAAAACTTGACAGCAAATCTCCAAAGCAGTGGTGTGAGCAAGACGGAACAAGACACACTCTACATGGCCCACACCGTGACTGTCTCGTTTTTTTTTACAGGATGCCAAGTTCAAGACGTTTGGCTGTGGATCCGCGATCGCAAGCTCCTCCTATGTGGTTTCCTCAGGTCAACACCGCTGATTTTGCTGGGCAAACTCTTGGATGGATTTGATCCAAAGATTTCCCTCGAGTCCTTTTTGATCCTTTCGTTTTGTCGTAAAAGGGTATGAGCTGGAATGCATTGAAAAGACGGACGCTAGCATGCACAGTACAGTGGGACTTTGCAAGGTGAGTAGTGACAGCAGGCTCAATGACATGTTCAGCCCAAGACATCTCAAACAAAAACCGTTGGAAGACAGAGACATGTTGCAGTAACTGTGCCAGCCCACAACATGTTGAGGCGACAGAAATGATCATTGGGCAGAAGGTGGAGGAGGTGGCAATTACTGTAGTATTAGAGGGCAGGTGGAGGCCATCGCTATTTAGATTGGAGGCCATCGCTTCTAGGTAGGAGGCGGCGGTGGGAGGGCGCGTTTCGATTGTGATGAGTGTCCAGCGAAAAGCCTTAGTATGTCATGTATGTCATACTTCCTTTTTTGCGCAAACTGGAGCCTGTCCGAGCAAAGGGTGGGGTTCTGCTGCAGCGTTTAAGTCTATTTGCTGTCCCTTTCCTTTGTTAAAGTCATGTGACCATGCAAGATTCTCTCCAGGCCAGCAAGTGCACGACTTAGCCGATGTTTGATATTTTTGGGTTGTTTTGAAGGACACAAATGAGATGTGCCTGCAAAGTAGCTGGTGGCACGAGGTGGTTTGGAATGGATATGTTGCTATAACTGTTGCTATATTTTGCCTAAGGATCAAGAACACTGACATCTCCTCGCACCTTAAGCTGCCTCCAGTGAAGATTCATTGCTCCGTGCTGGCAGAGGAAGCAATCCAGGCCATGAAGCCATGAACAAAAAGAAGAGCCGCAAGAGCACGAAGAAATCCGAAGTGCCCGAAGAGCCCAGAAACATGTGGCGAGTTGAAAGCTACATGTGGCGATCCAGGTGGGTCGTAGACACTACATGATCCTTCAACCGAATAGCGATGGCCTCCAACCTCATGTTTGGGGGGGTAGGAAGCCAGTAGTAACAAGTGCATCGCTAGTAGTAACAATGTTTGCTACTAGAAACAAGTGCCTTACTAGTAGTAACAATAAGAATTTAATTAGAATTGTAATTACTAGCAAAGGAATCTACATTCATGTTTTCGGAGCATCGAAGGTGCAAAGGCAAAAGGGCCGATGTGCGTCGACGAGGAATTTTGCGACGCGGACACGTTCAGAGTACGGTCTGCGATTCTTAGGTTGGAGGCCATCGCTCTAAGGTTCGTGGCAATCGTTCTT